GCCAAAGTGCTTGCTCATAGGGGGTCATATGATTGTTGGGTTTTTCTCTGTATCTATGAAGCGCCTTGAGGCGACTTTTGTTGTGATTTGGCACTATATAAATAAAATTGAATTGAATTGAAAATGTTTTACTATATCCAAACACTGAGCCTAGATTGAACCACCTGTGTAAACATTACTACCACCATAGGCTCTCTTACATGCTTGGTGAGGTTCAGGTATTCAGTTAGCTGCAATCTGCAACCTCAACGCAAGATACCACTAAATACTACACACTGATTCTTTAGTAAGTAAATTGTGAGCCATCTTTTTTTTTTTTATTATTATCATACTTTAATATGTAAACAGCTGAATTTGCAGTAATGCAACTTAGAGTAATGTAGATACAATACAGATTATCCTGTTGCATATAAAATATTGGCTCAATTAATCCAATGCTATTAAAAATAAACATTTAATTAATCGAAATATGTAAATATAACACTGAGATTGGTTTGGTTGGCATACTAAATATGTTTTACTGATAAAATCTTAGTTATCATTAAGATTTGTATAAACCAATTAACCCATAAGAACCTGTGTCACTGCCCCTTTACACACTGAGGAAAGTCATGTTAAAGTTTTAACATCGGCTCTACTATAGTTTTCCTGGCAGTAAAAATGGGTCTGTGCTCTTTTGGATTAATGGAGTGAATGCAAATGCAGATGTCTGAGGCGCTAACACAGGGGTGGGCAATCTCAGTCCACGAGGGCCGGTGTCCCTGCAGGTTTTAGATGTGTCCTCGAACCAACACAGCTGATTTAAATGGCTAAATTAGCTCCTCAACATGTCCTGAAGTTCTCCAGAGGCCTGGTAACGAACTATTCATGTGATTCAGGTGTGTTGACCCAAGGTGAGATCTAAAACCTGTAGGAACACCGGCCCTCGTGTACTGAGATTGCCCACCCCTGCTCTAACATGTGTTCCTCACTTGTCTCAGCCGGTGGCCCCAGCACTGTTGGACTGGGACAGTCATTGTCAAAAGATCTGATGGTGACGGTCAGATGGTCTCCACACTTGACGCCCTTCATAACACAGCTGTTGGACACTGAGCTGCAGTTGTAGCTGCTGTTTCTGTAGTTGCCCACAGCTGCCACGGTGTAGTACAGTGCCCCCTCAGCATTGTCCCACTTGCTGAGCAAACTGTCAACGCTGCAGTCGGCTACTGTTTCCAGATTCTGCGGAATGCAGGGTGCTGGAAAGAGTGGAAATAAAGAATTGCATAAATGTACTAAAATGTTTGCATTTATATAAACGAGAAGCTGAACACAACTGATATTGAATTGTAAATTGGATTCATCACATTCATCACAGAGAGCTGATATGAGAACGCACTTCAGTTTCTCTCAGAACCAGGAATACGTTAAATTTCCTGTTCAAAAACTGTTACAATTTGGAATGTTAACAATGTAATCATTTGCAGACAAAAGACTATTTAAATAGTTAGCCCCAGTGAGATAAATTTGTCAAATCATTCACTAGAAAATAGGACATTAGTTACCCAAAATTATGTTGCAAATCATACCTGTGCGAACGCCAACAGGAGAGCTGAAGCCACTTGAGCAACTCCCAGACATAGATTGAACTGTGAAGGAGTAGTACCGTCCACAGAATGTATTTGTGAAATAACAATTGTTTCCTTGAGTCATGCATTGCCTGACCATTCCCTGGGTGCAAAGAAGAATATTTAATATTTAGCCAGTGCTAATTTACATGTTCTAGTTTATCACAAAGGTCAACATTTGAGGGAAAATTTTTAGGTTTCTGTTGATCTGACCACTTTAAGATCATGTGTATGCCAAGACTCTCATAAACTTTCTTTTTGAAATCCAACTTCTATGATTCTGTTTTCTACTTAGGTAGATAAAGTCTTGGGAATTTGAAGAGATGAGAAAAACAGTGTTAAACAAGCAAAGATTAAGGAGCTAGTTTAAGAAACTGGCTGGAAATGTTCATACAGACTATCTAGTTCTGCATGAAATCTGCCTACCAGATTTTCTAAAGCTTAATAAATTAATCTTCTCATTCAGTTCTCAGCAAGATGTTTTTATTGGCGGAAAAAAGGTTGTGCAATTATTATTTGACAAAAATAAGCAATTGTAAATCTAAAATATAATACCTTGGAGTCGACTGCCCTGGCTAAGTAGTGGTTTACTTCGTTTGTCTGATTCCATGAAAAAATGATGACATCAGTGTCGCAGTCCCGCAACAACATCGGGTTGGCTGGAGGACAAGGGGCTTGATGGGAAGACATAGAGTCATTTAAAAAATAGCACATCACAGACATGACGTATATGCTGTATATAAAGGATGGATGGTAGAGCTATCTATGGATGGATAGCAGGAGAGCTAAAAACAAACAAACAAAACTGGTTGGATTAAATATCCTCATCAAAGGTGAACTTCTCAAATCTCTGTTCAGGTTAAAACGCCCTGATACTAAAGATTGTGCTCCAGTGTTGCTTTTCACTGTGTAATGTTTCAGGTTTCACTTAAAACACAGGCTCATTCTTAACTGGCTGAACACAACACAATATGATATAGACAGCAAATCTCAAAAGGAGACCCAGTTTTCAAAGGAGACGCCTAGTGATCACTAAAACAAGTGTGTGAACTTGGAATGAAAAACTTGTAAACAAGTATTCCCATTAGGCGCAAGACCAATGTGACACCAGTAATCGCTATCCTGAGGTAAAAACAAGTGGGTGTAATATACTTGGAAAAAGCCCTCTTCTTAAATTTGACATCAATCCTTGTCTTAAAATTAATTTGTAGCTGATTAGTGGAGGTTGTTATTGTTATTATAAAAAAATAGAGTTTTTCTTTGCCCTTTCCAGGGATTTGCTCTTTTTAAAAAGGTGTTTTATCACTCGATTGACTTAAGGATTCATTGTCCCGTATTAAATACGTGGGTGGTTGACATGTTAGAGCTGCTTGTCATGAAATTATATTCAGCAGCATCCAAGTCACGACAACTTAGCCAAGCACAATGTGACCCATTGGGTGGGGCTGAACACGCACTCTCAGCTCCGAGATCCCCGACTGAATGGAGGGATATGTGAGATGAAAAGATTAACTGCCTGCCCAAAATAGACAATAAAGTCCTGACATCCAGTTGACTATTGCTGGAGGGCCAAATATTTACCAATAGAAATCATGCAATAGGTAAAAATACTGCTAGTTATGAATCGTCTCTCCCGATAAAGATGTTCAGTGTTTCAACGTCTAATCTAAAGGAGCATTAAAAACATTTTACACATGCTTGTGTAACAGGATGAGGCCTTCTGCTGATCTTATGAAAAAAGTTGTATATTGTCTCCAGTAGTTCACTTTCTGACTTTCTGGTTCTATAAATGTCAGACTTTCTGAAAGTCTGACATTTATAGAAGTTCCCTTACAAGGTAGAAGCTTGAAATACGTGACCACTTACTAGACCACCTTATGCCCCTTATGCTTGATTTGTGGACAATTATACCTAATTGTGGGACATCAATAGAGAATCACTGCTTTACATTTCTTTCTTAAAACAAACTCCTTTATATTTCTTCTTCATTCTTTTTAGGCCCTCTTCAGATTGGCTTCTTTATTTTAAAACTTAAAAGTAAAATGTCAGATTTTTCAATACCAAACCTATACGTGTATTTGGAATATGAGCTCTCAGATTCTTCCTTATTTAAAACAAAATGGATTATTTCAGCTTTTACAGCTGAAGAAGGAAACAATCCCGCTGTGAACAAAGGCTCAGCTGGTTGGGTATGCTGCTTACACACTTCATAAAAACCCTGATAAAAACAGACTTTAAAGGGAACCCCATTGCTTTATTTTCTTTGTGTGTGTGTGTTTATTCGGTCTCACCAGTATTAAAAGAAGCTGAGGTGTTGTGGATGAAGTTCTTGCATTTGTCTGACATGGGCGTTACATACACCTTGTATTCCTGGCCACAGCTCAGTTCTTTAATCGGACAGTTGGTGCTTTGGCTGGTGCATTCCAGCTGTGTGCCGTTACTGCCAACTGCCACGGCCCTGTAGGACGTGGCCCCCGAAGCAGCCGGCCAAGACACGGTGACAGAGTTAGTGGTACAGCTGTAGTCCACTGATACCGATGAAACAGGTGTCAGCTCTGCAAGCAACGCATTAATATAATTTTATTTCAGAAAATTATATCATTTCACTGATGTTTGATGCTACATTGCCTCTAATCTGTATTTGAAGGGAAACCTCATATCTAATAGTAGAGTGCTATAAAACCCAAATAATCTTCTCACATGTCTCTTTTCCCATCAGCCTCCACCTAACCTAACAAATAGGTTTTCAGAACATCTGAATTGTCCTTGAGGATCATATTCTAAGTGTCTGAAAGGGACGCTTCAGAGAGAATGGCTGACCTAGATCCTAATCACCAAGTTATTGATATTGTGTGGCTCTGCAGACTCACTGTTGGTGGTGTATGTGTAGTTCGTGGGCTCGCTCGGCACCAAGAACGTGCTGTATGAGGACACTGATATCAGATAGGTGGAGCATGGGAGGATGCCTTGAACATCCAGCTTGGTGTCTGAGACATTGTGTAAAGAGGGTTGGCTGCTGGGATCATCTAGGTTGCGAATCCTGACATGGTATAAAAGGACCGTATTCACAGGCTCCCACGTTATTCTTGCCGTAACCTGGTCAGTCTGTGTTGCAGTAATACCCACTGGAGGCTGCACCACTGAAAGAGAGTGGGATTTATTCAGATATGAATACTCTTAAATAGTTGACACAAATCAGTGAAATACTTTTTCTACACAAGTTTCTAATTCTTAGAGACCTTTGGTTAAAAAGGGTCAAGCTACCATTTATAAATGCATACAGCCACGTTTAAAGGATCAGTTCGTGTGTTTTCTAGTTCACTTAAAGAAAGGTGCATAGCTTTAATGTAAGTTTTCACTTTCTATGCATTTATTTTGGAATATCTGCTCCTGTCCCCCTGAAAAAGTCATGAGATTTCTTTGAACGTTCTCTTTTTTAAATTTACCAAACATTTGCAAGAGTTACCTGTTTTTCAGAGAGCGACTATAAAATACCCATCCATCCTAAAACACTTCTACATTCTAATTGAAGTTGGTCACTTACAGGTTGTGATGGTCTTCACTTTGCTTTTGCTTCCCAGGCCTGCCTGGTTAACTGTGTAGACATAGCAGTCATAGATGGAGGAATGCTGCAGGTTTGTTACCACAGCTGTGGTGTTGGTGTATGTAAAGTTCATCATGGCTCCAGTGGTCCGAGAGTACACCTGTAGATCGTATTTCTGTGCTGAAGGCACTGTTGTCCATGTTACTTTGATTGAAGTACTTGATAGTGCTCGCCCTTCAACTATCTGTGATGTGTCAGGGACTGGTGGGAAAGAGCAGGCGAGACTATTTCACATAAACTGCTAAAGGAAGTCAACATAAAAAATGACAGTATTCTCAATCATGATCAATCAGTGTTGTTGTAGAAATGTTGGACTTACCTGTGGAAGCCAGAGTGGAATTAACACACGCCACATTGAAGAAGACAAAAGCTTTGACAGTCACATTATACTCAGTTCCTGGTTTTAGACCAAAGATGTTCCTCTCAGTCTGGGATCCGGATATGGACGTTATAATTGGTGCAAACTGTGGAGAGTTTTTCTCCCGAAGGTCCAAAACATAGTTTGTTGTTCCAGGATATTCCTTCCATTTTACCAAAATTGATGAGGCACTTGATGGACTTGCTAACACGATGTTGCATCCTGAAAGAAATGGAAATGCACTGCAATAAACTTTGACATTAAAGGTTACACAGCAACAAATAATACAGCCACATATATGTCACACTGAACAGAAGCCAGTGTGACATCTTGAGCTTTAATGATATTTTCTATTCTATTATAGTCTAGTCATTATCATGGTCATAAGTTTAAAAATGACCAAATTATGCTAATACATAGCTCTTTAGACCTGCATAGTCACGCAAATGTCTCCATTTTCTTACCTTCTGCAATGTGAAGTATCTGTAAATAAAAACAATGAAAAATCATACAACTGTTTCAGTTTTATAGATTTTAACATAAAAAGTTATATTTAGCCGAGTTAGACTTACCAAAGCTAAAGAAAAGCATATGGCTCCCAACAATCCCATCTTTGACAATGAGAGCGGGATTAAAATTACTTTACTATACAAGGGAGTCAAATGCAAAAGGTGTGCTGGATTCTTTTGAGCTTTAACTCAGTATGCCTGAGAACCAATCAGTATTCCTCAAATAGAGGGCAGGCTGTCCCTCCAACAGCCCCAGGCAGCATAAGCTGCCCTGGGAACACAGCATGAGGGAGGGATGGAGGGCGGGGTGGATAAATGGATGAGAGTTTACCTGAAATGAGGATGACAGGAAGGTCATCACCCTCTCTCACTTCCTCTCTCTTTTTTCCCTCTTATTCAGTCTATCAGCAGCCATAACCTCGATCCAGGCATTTTCCTTGCTGTCTATTTGTAGTATCTATTATGTTGTGTTTATTATTTGCAATATCAAACAGTCTTTTTGTTGTTCAAAGTCATTGATAAGAATTCATTTATTGTATGACATTGTGGCAAGTCTTCTGTTTTTTAAACTACAGAAAACAAAAGATTAGTTTTAGGATCTCTCAGTTCAGCCGTGTTTATTAAATCACAAGAGAAAAAATATTAATTCATCCACATAAGTCATATGTCACATGTTAACACAGCATTGTCGTACCTAGTATTTGGAGCCGTAGTTTACGACATAATGTTACTGACCTATTAAGCCTTACTGCTCATTAACCCAAGCATGATTGATTCATTTGTTCAGTTGTTTTTTTTTCTTTTCTGTCGAAGTAACTGAATGTTTACACATCGTTATTCATTTAGTGGTTTCTTTTTCTTCAAGAAACAATACATGAGAGCGCGGTAAATGACCTGAACTTGGGAGGGGCTGCTTAAGCAAAGAAAAGAAATGCACCTGAAACTAAAGTCAGGAATGTAAACTTGTAAACTGGGACTTCATCTAGATGGGATGAACTTCCTAACGCACAGAGATTTACTAACTTGAGTAATTCATAAACTGAATTTTTGCAGGTGTTTAGTACAAACAAAAAGTGAAGCTGATTTCTTCCTAGATATCTTAATCCCAGAGCTGACATTATGTAGGCTACATGCTGGGCTGAAAAAGATCTTTGTCACACTTGAATAAAGGCCTATGGTTCCTCCTCGTGTATTACAAAAAAGGAAGTCAGTGTGAAAATGGATATGGGCTAGAATACTGTGAGGAAACTTTAGATGTTCTTAGGCAAAAGAGCAATTATGAACAAATGATGTGAACATCTTGATATTTCAGCTGTGATATTGTCCTGAGGTAGACAATATTACAGGTCGGTGTTAAGGATCCTGTGTTGCAACTTCCCAAAAATCGGCCTCCATAAAATGACATTACAACACAGAAGGGTTGGGTAGTTTCTGCCTCTGGCTTCTCACCAAGCGGTGATCTCCAGTGGTTAAAAATGAATCCATTGACCAGATAACAAAAACTGCAGATCCTTGAATGGCCACTTCAGTTTAAAAGCAAGTCAATGCTAATTCACGCCCATGTTAAAATGCACAACTTTAGAACAGAAATAAACATGTTTACAGCCTGATGCTGGAAATGTCTTTTCTCTTTGCTCCAAAACAGTAGCCCACAAAGCAACTTCTGACATCACAACAGCTACGCTCATCTTTATATAAAGCTGGCTTTACACTGTAAGGAACCTAGAGGTGAATTAATGACAGCTGCATTCAAATCAGCGACAATATTATGCATGAAAGCTGCTTGGTAGGATACATATATTCAATCTCTGATTTCCCTAGGGCGTCTCAAAGTTAGGTGCTTGCTCTTTTGGTGTCACGGTTCTGGGTCCGTTGGACCCAGTATTTTGAGTTTATTATGTTTTGGTTTAATTTTGCATCATGGATTGTTTTCTTGTTCTCTTGTTGTGGTTGTGATGATTATTATTAGAGTTTCATGTTTCTGTTATCCATGTTTTAGGAATTGTGGTTTCATGTATAGTTCAGTTCCATGTGTCATTTTCTGTCTCTCTGTGTTGAGTCCGTGTCTCTGAGTTGTAATTCATGTTTCCTGTTTTATTGTGAAAGTCTTTGTCTTATGTTAGTGTGTGCAGCTTTGTTCTCCCTGTCTCGTTAGCCCTGATCTCTCCCAGCTGTGTCTCCCCCGTTAGTACCCTGTGTATATAAGCCCTGTGTTTTCCCATGCTCGGTGTCGTGTTGTACCCTCAGATCCTGCCTGTTTGGTCCAGTTAGTCTGTTCATGTTTGGGTTCTGTTTTATTGGTGCCAGCAATAAAGCTGTGGTTTGGAGTTTCCAGTTAGTGTTTGAGTTCTGCACTTGGATCCACATTCTCCACCTGCCCGCACACAGAGCCCTGACATTTGGTGGGCATAGGTCTCCTGCAGGGGAGGGTGAATGACCAGAGTAAAAACATGAAATGGTAAATGGTAAACCCCAACATTTTATTGCAGTTTAGCTAACATTTTTAAAACACACATTATGTGAAAAATGGAAAACTTTTTTCAGACAGACATTTTATTTTCTCTGTTTCTACAAATATGAAGGCCACTGCTTCTTCTGCAGAAAATAACAGTATTTCTTTACAATATAAAACACTTTCATGAGCAGTAGTGTATAAAACACTGTAGTTTTACTGTGAATGTAATGGTTTAAAGGAGCACTTTGCAGTTTTCCAACCTCACTTTTTATGGTTACACAAATAAGCAGCCACCTATCTGGTGAAGTGAGTCATATTAAAATGAGACATTGCTTTGTTGAAAGAAGTATAAGTGAAAATGGTGCAGATGATGTTGAAGGAAATGCTGCTTTTAATCAAGTAATATTAGAGTTTAAGGTAGTCGTCATCATCTATTCAGTATAACATACAGTGTACCCTAGACAATATAATAGTGGTTATATTAGTGATGTTATGCACATACTAAAATAAAAATATATAGAAAAAATTCACACTGATTTCAGTTAGTGCGTAATTGCATTTTTTCATAATTTATCGTGTTATATCTGTATGATGGTGATAACAATAATAATAATGAATTATTATGTTAATCAATAACAGTTCATTTTTCTTTCACGTCAGGTTCTTATGCTCACTGCTAGGTGTTAACATGTCATCCCAGCACCTTAACCAACTCATGTTTAAATAATAATCACATTTCTCTACATTTTTGTCAAACATAATGTCTAAAACAAGAACATAAGAACACGTTGACAAGAAATTAACCATAACTATGTGCATACTGGAGAAATGCTGTGAATCAAAAGAAGAAACTTAGAATAATGCATTTAAAATTCTCATCACTGAAGGATTTGAGATCATTATAGTAGAGTTAGAGTAGAGTTCAAGTATTTTCTGCAAAATAAGTGATCAAAGCTGTTGACTTTTTGTAATAAATAAAGAAATAAACTTGATAAATACAACCTGTAAGGATTAATCCACAGTTTAATTACACTGCACCTAATACAGGAAATGGCACAGTTTGGCACAAAGTAAGACACAAAGGCATACTTTAATGAACAATATAGAAAAGAGAGGCATACTTTTCCACACTCAAAATGTAGTTCTTTCTGATGTGGAAGTTAGATGAAAAGTTGTTGTAATCATTGACACCACTTTTACTTTACTAACAGAATAAACTCAAATGTAAGTACATCCATACGTGAAAATAAAAGAAGTTCCTAAATAGGTTCTGGGATGCTTTTTAAGAAGGTTGCCACGTGGCAGGATATGCTTCTAGAAAGACTTTGGTTGCAGTTGAGCAGAATTGAAAGTGAAGATGGTCTTTAGCAACAGTTGCCAAGTTTTAGCTTTATACTGACAAAGGGTTGGAAAACTGCCACGGTGGCTCGTGTAACAACTGCTTCCATACATCGTGGAAAACTGCTTGTTAAATTCACAAAGAGCAGTAAATGACAAAGCCACAGAAGCAGCACAGGTCAGCTGAGCAACGGCTATAAACGGAGAAGAATCTACAGGAGCTCACAAATGTAATGATTACTTGAATGATTCCTGAGTAATTTCCTGTTTGCAGCCCTGCACTGGAACTCAGGGTTCCCCTGACTACTAAATGTCTCTTTAACCTCATGAGACATGATCTGATGAAATGTTATACTGTGACAAAATATGGTTTCACAGTCACCATCACGGCATGAAGTTAGCCTAGGTTGAGAAAGCCTCAACAGGTTTGAGGACACACAGAAAAAAATTTCCCTTCATGTTTTGAGTGCTTTGAGAAATGAATGTTAATGTGGTGGTTTTTTTTATTATGTGCGTGCTTTTTGCAAGGAAATTATACATCTCAATTTGGTGTTTGTTACACAAGTTGCGAAGATCTAGGTGTCTCTACAAAATGCCTTTTGCCAGAGTCATGGCTCATGTTTTACTATTCAATGCCAACTATTCCCTACAGAGAGTTACAGTTTCCTTACTGATAACCAGCACTGTTCACAGTACGCTGAACATAATACCAGAGCCATTTGTGATTTCAAAGACTTCAGCCAAGTGAAACTTGCACTACGAAAAAGTCCATGGCAACCAATGTTTCTGGGAGGAGCGCCGTGCAAAGCTGCAGAGGTGCAGCTCCCATATGGAAAAGATATATATATAAATCTTATAAAGTTTGTATCTGTCTTGTGTGAAACTTGTCTGAAAAGCATACAAGAGTGAAAACACATATAAGATCCCTTGAAAAATTATATAAATGAAACTTGTATGTTTTGGATACTTACTAAAACAATATATGAAAGTAATGAGAAAGTGGCCACTTTCATGAGTAAATGATATAAGTTTTTACTATTTCTTTTCCATATGGGCTGTCTCATGTAAAGGCACGTTGTAGGGTGTTTAATTAATCTGAGCTCTCTTCTCTGTGTGTTCTTCTGCGATACTGGTGATTAAAAATATGTGAACACCATAATATTGAACTGCAGCAATGAATTTCTTCTAACTCACTGTAATTGTGGGTTTAACATCAAATATAGCTTCCCTCATTGTTAAAGTCAGTCTGCATACTGATGATGTTCAGCTTTACATTTCAGGTAATTGCATCTCTGCTGGAAACAAAAATCTTTAACAGAAATAAGAGATGTTCTAATAATGAGTAATTTTCCAATCATTGGTATTTGGTAGAAAGAAGGAATGATGTGTATTAACAAATGAGAGGTAATCATTTTGGCTTCCAGTTTGAGTGAATATGGTACTGAGTAAAGGTGTTTTGCATTGATAACCAACAGCATGAATATCAGTTTTGTTAAAGAACTTTAATTCAGTTTTATTAGAACTAGATTCACTATTGACATGGAATAAATAGAATACAACATGTTGTCACTGAGAAGATATTTCTTGCACAATTATTACCATAGAATTACACACGAACTAATTATTTAATCTCAAATGCAAATTGATGCTGGAAACCATTTTTACACACTTGCTGCACAAAATTAAAATTTAATTCTCATAATCATAAATAGCACAAAGAGAATTTAAAGCAAACAGGCAGATCAGGAAAAGATTCACAGAGCGGTGTCTTCATTAGCACTTCATCACCAACATGCCTCCTGCCTGGGTTTAAACTTTAAAAAAGAGAAGAGGTCTCTCCCATGTTCACAAGCAGCTGCTACAGCAGGTAGCTACATCTGTGTGGTTACGCAGATTTTTCCACCACATGCCCTTCCTGATATATTTTGAGCAGAACACACAGAAAGAACTGCTGTTACACTTGTTTTTTCATTCAACACATGAAAATCATTTAACAAAACCATTTCTCATTTTCTTGCTCCATGACTGATTCCTGGTTGACATTTGTTCCTTTAGGAGCACGACTTTCTTCCTGTGGTGTAGTAGCGTATGATGAATATGTTGTGTAATATCTTCTGTGGAAGCAAAACATCAAGACACATCAACATTGTATTCAGTTTGCGGTATTTTTAGTTTTTTTTGTTTCTTTATTGTAAGTCACTCATGTGCACATATAGGTACACATGTCAGTGTGGCCAACACAGAATTACAAACTGTGTTTCATCGTTGTGCAAAGAAAAGTGACAAAACAAAACATAGCAGAAATTTGCAGATACTAGCTAAAATCATTTGCCATATTTTTAAAACTTAAATTTAAAAAAGCACAAAGGAATTACAGAGTCTCTATCTTCACCAAATGGGTTTTTTTTCTGTTTATTCAAGCACAAAGCTACATGTCAGATATAATACATTCACTTACCATGTGCTTTTCTTTTCTTTAAATCACTGCGGAGGAGAAGAGTGAAGTGATTTAGAAAATAATACCATAATGCTATTAAAGTGTGATTTTAATAATTTCCCTTAAGGGTGCTAAGTAGTGTTGATCTGTATTAAGTCTGTGCATAATAGCACCGTTCTAGCATAAAGGGACAACTGGCTTTTCTTTTATGAGGTATTCTTTTATGAATAGCTTTTTGGTCACTGAAGTTCTTTATCAGCTCATTGTGGATGTATTTGATGTGTTTATAAATACTGCAGTTTTACGTGAATTTATGCATGTGGGCACTGACCCCTGATAAAAATGTTGAACTTACCTGTGGAAGCCAGGGTTGAATTCACACACGCCACACTGAAGAAGACAAAAGCTTTGACAGTCACATTATACTCAGTTCCTGCTTTTAGACCATAGACGTTCCTTTCAGTCTGGTGTCCGAATATGGGCGCTGTAATCGGTGCAGACTGCGGAGAGTTTTTCTCTCGAAGCTCCAAAATATAACTGGTCGCTCCATCGTGCTTTTCCCATTTTACTAGAATTGATGATGCATTTGAGGCACTTGCTGACAAGATTTTGCACCCTGGAATAAATGGAAGCACATTCAGTAAGCTTTGTTATTAAAGGTTGTACAGGAGCAAATAATGCAGCTACACACACAAAAAAAGTTTGTTATTATTTGAATCCATCTGTAGTGCTTTTTTATTCACAATCATGCCTTTGTATTTAAACAATGGATAGATTATTTAAATGACATTTTTTTCATTTTCTTACCTTCTGCACCTTCATGTGTCTGCAAATAAAAACAATAGAACATTATTTTTCTTTTGTTATTGATAAATATTGATCATTTGATAAATTTCAACAAGTTTAAAAGTTGTATTTACCTGAGTTAGAGTTATCAAAGCTAAAGAAAAGCCTATGGCTCCCAACAACCCCATCTTTAACAATGAGAGCGGGATTAAAATTAGTTTACTATATAAGGGAGTCAAATACAAAACGTTTGCTGGATTCTTTTAAGCTTTGGTCCACTCAACCTGAGAACCAATCAGTATTCCCTAAATGGGGGCAGGCTGCCCCTCCAGCAGCCCCAGGCAACCAGAGATGCCCTGAATCAACAAAAAGAGGGATGGAGGGAAGTTTTCTCTGTTTTCAATGTAAAACGTGGCAGCAGTTTTTCAGCAGGAATAATGTCTGGTGTTTGGGAACTATTTGTGTAATTTGAGACTTTGAAAACTTTTTTCAATGCATTATATAAAGCCAGTGTATCTTTCCCGGTATTACTGAGCTTGACCTAATAAAAAACCTCAAGGTTTGACATTTGAAACAGGTGGCAACTGGCAGAGCTGAAAAATGAAGCCAATGTGGGAGTGACACGAACTCTAGTTGTCTAGTTGAGGCTGGTTGCAAAAAAGGAAAGACCACAAACTCCTTCACAAGGACATTCTGATTAATGTCTTTTATACTCTGAAGTTAAAAAACAATCCCTATATTTACAGCTACTGTATGTTATGTATGATTGTCCATTTATGTTTGACACTCTGGAGATAGGGGAGTGTGAAAACCAAAAGATGTTACAGGCCAAATTTCTGATTTTAGAGACCTCTGTTTATGGGAGAGCTGGAGGCAGTGGCACAGAGCTCTGGGACCCCTTCTTAAATTGCTTTCTCTGCAACTTGGTTATCTGATTTTCTGGTTCACTTACAGTGTCAGAACTTTATAAATGTATTGATAAATATATCTATAACTTGTAACATTTTAGTCCAGTCTAACATATTACCTGCATGTAAGTCCAGACTTCAAACATGTCACCCAACTTGATCAGATTTGATTAAATTTCCAATGTAACACAAAGATGAAGATGATGCTGTTTGCCTTACCAAATATAACATTCTCATCAGAGAGCCAAGTGTTCACTGATGTGTGATCGGTTTGAAGAAAATACAGTTGATCTTGAAGAAGGGAAAGTTTCAGAAACAACAAAACAACTTCTAACAGAATTAACCCTTTAAAGCCAAATGTATCGTTGATACATGAGGTTATGAGTGTTTGAGACTTCTACATCATCAGTTTAATGTATTGAAATTCACTTAAACAAGCTTTCTTGCCCATTCTCATGCTTGGTTTGAATGTCAGCAGGACAGGCTGAATATAGTAACTGCTGCCATGTGACTGTTAAACAGATTTAACTAACAAAGCATTATCAGCATCCTGATTTACAGATCACATATCTACATCCAAAACAAAACACTATATGATGATGATGCTGGGAGTTCTTTATTACCAGGAATTTCCATCACTTTGAGACAATGACACGTACTGAAAGCAGTTCATTACATCCTAACAATATAAAACAGCGAACTGTTGTTTTAAAAGGGAAAAAAATCATGTATTTAAAGATGAATATATCAGTTCGTGTTCCTTGATTGTCAGGAGGACAATGAGCTACAACTGAACTGAAGAAGGAAAATCCATCATATGTAGTTTGAATTAGCTATTCAAGCATGGTAAATGTTTTACTATCAACTATCAATTGCAATTTTTAACAGTTTAAAAAAAATCTTTTTCCTGTTAAATCCAGTAATTTGTGGTTAAAATTAATTTAGAATTTCCCCAATTTAACATAACTTTAGTTACTTTTTTCACAGATCACAGATTTGAATCTTAAATGTTGGAGCAGACTGTGAGTTTGCTTTCCTATGCCACATAAAAATCATCAAACATTATACCAACATGTTTCATGGCTAAACATTTGTGGTTGTTTCTCTATATATTTATGAGGCTGGGATCATTCCGGTGAGGATGGGGGTGATGGATGAGGAAGAGGAGGATGAACATGTTTTCTGTCGAGGAAAAAGATCAAAACCCATGAAAACTGAATACTGACCTGCAATATTTGTGCTTTTATTTTCACTCATTGGTTTAATGTGCTCAAATCTGATGACAACAATGTCAAGTGTCGCTGTGTTTTTTGTAGCCAGAAGATAGACATTAATATACACAAGACGGTAGAAACAAAAGATGGTCAATTATTTTAACTGTCATTAAAAATGTTATCATAGATTCAAGACATAGACCGTTCCACAGTTTAGCACCATAAAAACAGAAAGTGAACTCTGATACTTGTATGTGGCATTTATGGTACTTTTTTTTTTAAAAAGGAGTGGTGCTGACAAAGTTTCAGATGGAAGACCTTTGAATCTTATCTTAAGAATTTTCATCTTTTTATATTTCATACCTTTCGTGTAGTTTTTTTTTCTGCATGATACATGTGTAAAATTACAGAAAAGGTTCTGGGAACTCAAACATAACATCAAAACATCAAACTTAATTCAGAGAAAATGTCCTTTTTTATTTTATTTTTTTACCCATATGTTGATCTATAACAGTTAGACTTTAGTGTAGTATAAATGTCTGTGTGTATCAGGGATCTTTATCACCAGGAAAAGCTAAAAATTCCTCCTTCAAATTTTCCAAAGCTGTCCAGTGCACCAGATTGAAGTCTTTACTGATTCGAGCCCTCGGGCTATATTTTTGACACCACTGCTATAGCTTATATGCGCTCTCTTTAGCCAGCTGCTTACCATTTGTTGCTAAACATGCTAGTCCACGCTTCTCTTCCCTCTGTAAATAACTGATGGAGAAGAGATTGAAGCATATTTAGAAAAAAATGCATGCATTTTTTTTTTACAATCTAATGCAATCCAAAATAACATTTTTTGAATCCAAATTCAAAAAAATCTAGAAAGATGGCAAACTTACCTGTGCCAATGTTGTCTCCTAAACAGGTGACTAAAAGAGCAGAAACAGAAAAGTCTAAATCTGAGGTACTTTTTTTTCTAATCACAGTTACTGATTCATGTTTATGTAAAACTTTACCCTGACGAATCATGGAAGTAATGAGAAAAATGTGTGAAAGCGATCGCTATAATATTATAATCAATGGAAAATAAAATACACACAAAGTCTAATTTTATACAATTTCACTTTGAATTACCCGAGTACAGTCTCTCCGGGCAGAATTGGACTTTGCTGCCCTCTTGTGTGAGTGGAGCGACCACTACATGATAGACGTCCCCGCACTGGACGCTGCCGAAGTCACAGCTGTTGTCTCCAGGAGCTGCGGTGCAGTTGTAGTTGCTGTTCCTCCCCACCATCTCTGCGATGGAGCTGTGGTTGCTCCCAGTGCTGCGCCAGTAAACCCGCAGAGAGTTACTGGACGTGCTGTATAATTTGACACCAGACTGACAGCAGGGACCTGCGACAAAGACATGCTAATGAAGTGATGCATGTCTTCTGACTAGAATATTACTTTGCAATTAAAGGCTGAAGAAAAACAGATTACTATGACTGTAACAGCTTTGGTTTTGCTCTTTTATCGGTAGGCATATCTTCTGTTTGTATACACTTATCTTGATACTTCTAAAAAAAATCCACAATTCCTCGTAAGTTTTTACTTCAATACATAAAATAAAGGCCTTTAAGTCATAAATTAGTTTTTTTACGTGACTTACTACGCTCCTTTGCACCTCCATATTTTTAGTCTTATACTCTGTTTCAGTAATTTAGCATGATTCACATGATCCTCAGTTCATCCTCTCTCTAAAAGAGTTGTTTTAACTTTTCTCCTTTGAAGGCAACCCTCTTTTTAAGCCAGCCTTCTTTGGATTGGCTGTCCTTGGCAAACAGAAGGTTTGATCACCAGGTGGCTGGGGGTTGTGACCAAAGCCATTAGAGGAGTCTGATGCCTTATCCTTTTTGGTCATTGCATGATATGCACGTCAATTGCCATGATTATTTGAAACTATGTACATATTTCAAACGAGTAACCAAAGTAAAACCACAATAGATGTGTGCATGTTTTAATAAACTTGTCAGAGCTCTCTGACAGATCATTTTAGCCTTTAAATTTGTCCACACCTCTTCTGTTTTATGTTTTCTTGTATCTTTCACTGACCACTCTTTGTTACTTATTGTCACGGTTTATTAGAAGACATCACTCACTTGATGAGAAACCCTGATAGGTGCAGTTGGACCTGCGTCCGTTATGGCTGATTGCCTCCATGGTGACAGTGTAGTTGGTGCTGCAGGTGATGCATCCCATGAGGCAGTGGGAGTCCTGGGTATGGCAGCGGGCATGACCGCGTGATGATGTCAGAGTGGCGATGAACAAGCGTGCCCCTTTGGCGTGAGACCACGACACGTTGGTGATTGCCTGGGTCACCTGATCCACCGTCAGATTCACTGGGCAACACGGTTCTGCGATAGAAGATGAGGTGTGGGAAATAGTTATAACATATCAATTAATGTACAGTTCAGTATATTTTTATATTGCAGCTAGGCAAAAGTGTCTAAATATGAGTCTTGTAAACTAGAAAAATTGATGTAAAGATGGGCAAAGTGTTTAATTGAACATAAACTCTTTTAGGTCCCGCATAATTACCTGGAATAAAGTCACATATGAAGTTATGCAAAGTTGTAAAGTTAAGCAAGAAAGGTCAGGAAGCAGCACTGACCGTTCGTGAGCGACAGCATTCGACTGCTCACCTGTTTCTAGAAACTCAGAGTAGCTGGGTAAACTCGGACCAGCTGTGCTGGTTGCTTCGACGCTTACTTCATAGGTGGAGCCACAGGAAAGGTCAGTGATGTCACAGCTGCTTTTATTGGTGCTACAGATGTGTTTGTCATCATCTCCATTTGCGCTTACAGTGTAATTAGCAGCCCTGTTATTTGCTGTCCAGCTGACAGTGACGCAGGAGGAGTTCTTTGGATTGAGCATCACATTGTTTGGCATGCAGGGAGCTTCGAGAATGGAGAGAAGGCTGAGTTAATGGTGTCCACGTTGTTTAAGGACCCCTCAAAAATATGAGGAGACATCTTTTTTTTAGATATTGTGGACTTTTTCTCCTTGGATATGTTTTTATACCCTTATTTATATACACAAGTTTTCTACCTGTGTCTTTGGTGTGAGCTTTACAAGCAAGGTTGCAACCGCTCACATCATTGCAGGGAATCACCACCACACTGTAGGCAGTGTCACAGCTGAGGCCAGAGAGGACGCACACCGGTGCGGTGTCATTACAGAGGATGACCTCTGAACTGTGTGCAGCCCGGGTCTCGTACAGCACTGCCCCCCGTGAGGGCATCCATCTGATGTCCAGAGTGTCAGTGCTCACCGCTGACACTGACACATCCTCTGGGCAACACACCACTAAAAGAAGTTTATGAATGATCAGAGAGTGAAGAAAATGCATCTCATCGTGACTAAAAAGTGTAATTTTCTGCTGCTACTTACAAGTGGTGTAGTTGAGAACTTGTCCTTGAGGACTGCTGCCAGCGTGGTTGAAGGCCAGCACAGACAGGAGGTATGTTTGCCCACACGGGCAGTGAAAGGTACAGTTGTTGCTGGTGGTGTTGCAGGTTTCCACACTGCTGCCAGCTGTCTCGATAAGGGCCATGTAGCTGTCAGCATGAGCCACGGTTTTCCACGTTAGAGTGCAGTTGCCTTCTGAAGACTCCACTAGTGCCAAAGACTCAGGTGGGCAGGGGACTGCAGCACAAGACGGCAGGGAATTTAGTCACAGTCACACACTCATAGAGTCAGGTAGGGGTTCGGTGTAGAACACAAAAAACTTGTGTGTCATATTTTATAGCATGTTTTGCATTGTAGTTATTAAAAGTTTGAAGATTTTTAATGAATAAATTGTTTTCTTTAAGATATATAAACAGTGTGATATAAAAAAATGTTGAAATTGTTTTATCTGCTTATGAGTTTTAAAATGTTGTGGTTATAAAGGGTCAGAGTTTAGAGGTCAAAGTATTGCTTCCATTGGTCCATAGTTACCCTTAGTGGTCATTAATTTTACAGGATACATTCAACTTTTGTAATGTGGAATTAAATTTGGGTGTTTTTCATGTCATATGGAAAAATCAATGCATTAGAAACAATACAAGTTTCTGCATTCGGCTTCATACCTGGAAGGTAATTCCAGTATTTTTAAAAAACATTATGTGGATGACACATTCATATCTCTTCTACTCACAGGTGATGAAGACTGCAGGGCTAGATGGATAGCTGGGCCCAGCCTCATTTGAGGCAGTGACTTGGATGGTGTGTACCTCTCCACACCCCACTACTGAGAGGGTGCAGGAGCTGGATGTGGTCTTACACATTAAGTTTAGGTCACTCATCACATTGTACTCAATGGGTCCATAGACCTCCTGGTCTGGCTCCCAAGACACCAAGAGTCCAGCCACACTGCCATTCATCACCACAGACACACTGACAGACGCTGGGGTCCGAGGTCCTGTTAAATGACAAAAAATAAAAACAAAACCAGCGAAGGACTAAACTGGAGTAGACACCGGAACCAGTGTGATATAACTGCATTTGGTTATTTTTGAATGCATGCTTTTATTTGTTGTAATTAAGTGGAAAATTTTGCTTTTTTACTTCATTGTATTTTTCAAATGTCTACTAAAACAGGAAGTTTTCAAGGTTCTAAGTTTAGAAAACAAGTATTTCATCCTTGTTGTGCTCCTATATTTTAAGCAGCATGTTCATTAAACCTTATGGATAATTTGCCACAGTAAGACTCCTCAGAATTATAATACTGTGTGTTTTTGGTGGCTTTACTGCTTTGCAGCATTGACCCTAGATCATGGTTAAGCATTCTTCATGCTGTCCAGGGCTCTTACTGAATAACACTCTGTATGCTAGAGTAAACACAAAGTGTACAGTCACAAACAGACAACTGTCTCAGTGCCTGCTTACGTGTAGCCTGTTTAATGTTCGAGCTGTCTCCCTTTCGACCTTCAAGATCCCAAGCAAAACAAGTTATGACGTAGAGTGAGCCAGCATCCAAGCCGGAGAAGGTCAAACTGGTGTTGGAGGTGTTGTACACGCCCATGCTTGTGTTTGAATCAAGCTTGCATATGGACACGGTGTATTGGACGGCATGAGCAACTGGATCCCAGGATAGAACGATGCTGCTGTTGCTCGTAGAGGAGGACGCAAGCTGAGGAGGAGCCAAAACTGTGAAAGACAAGATTAGACTGTTTTATATGTAGTAACTGGTGTGGGGGATGAATACTGTAGCACATTACTGAAAGTCCAAAAGTTTAATCCAAGACTATGTGAAGGAAGTCAGTGTAACGTCAACTTAATAGTGGGTGCAACATTTAGAGCTCTTGCCAGTTGTTACATATTCAGACTGTGCGCTTATGTTATTTTCTTTGATCATTTTAGGTGAAGCAGAGCTTCAGAGTTTGATTGTGTTCACGTTCAAGAATCAGTTTGAAAGTTGCTTAGTATTAAAGCGTGAAAGGTTCAAGTAATTGTATGTTATCGATGAAAACTGTACTAATACTAATATATTAAGCAAGTAATCAGTATTGTTAATAGATAAACTCTGTATTACTTTGGTAATAGTCACATAACTTTGTCTTCATTTCTGTTTCAAGTTAATCAAGTTTGCATAAATGAAAAAGTTTAGAGGACATTTCTCTGAATTATTAAAAAATGATTGTCACAAAGTGACTGGATTAGTTGAACAGGTGCAATCTTAAGAAATTTTTAAACAAGACCTGTTGACTGGTGCAAGATCAGTAAACTCATTGCACCGCTGAGAGGCTACAGCTGCAAGTTCATGTTTCATGTTCGTGAGAATCGAATGTTGCCCCCCGTAAAGATGAGATTAGAGCTGGTAACCCTTTACTCAGGAAGAGTTCAGCTCTTTATGTTTGACATAGAGGGGTCAGGTATGGTTACCACCGATGCCAGAGAGGCCCGTAGGGTTGAAGATGAGTGTGTATACTGTACCTTTCACTTGTACAATTGAATATAGTGGTTGTGCTGTTTAGACAATAAAACAGATCAAGTGACCTCTGCAGGGCATGGGGTGTGAGACCCATTTCACACGAGTAATTTGAAAATCCCACCTGTCTTTCCAGTTACAGGAATTGAGGGCTGGCTGCGGCCTGCGGTGTTCACAGCCATGATGCTGAGCGAGTACTCAGTGTACGGCACAAGGGACTCAATCTCAGCTGGAGAGGAGGATGCTGCAACCTCTCTGAAGAAGCCATTGCTGTTCTCGACACGTATGATGTAATGAGACACCCCGTTTCTCAAGTTAAACTCCACTGTCAAGGTTGTGCTATCCAGTGACTTCACTGTCAGAATGGGCTCCATCATATCAGGGGCTGAAAGAGGCACAAACAATTCACAACAGGGATGGTATCAAGTCCACTCTTAAGTTAATTTTTACTGTATGTGTCTGTGTGCTGAACTTTAGATTTAAGTGGTTTAATTAAGAATCAGAATCAGAAAGGGTTTTATTGCCAAATATTGAGCAGGTTTACAACATTAGGAAATTGCTGCGGTGCTTCAGTGTAAACATACTGTCATAAATTACGCTTAAATAGACATGAAAAAAATAAAAATAAGAATAAGAATTAAAAGTGCTACGTAGAAAGATATATACATGAGTGCAGGTGGTGATCAGTGCCAAAGTGGTTTTTTAATTAAAAAAGCAACCAAAACTACCCCATACTTTATCGTCTGTGAATCTCCCCTGGTACATTTACTGAACATAACTATAAATCACATGTTTATTACTAGTGATGTCTCAAGTGATACTAGTGATGCTAGCCTGAAAAATGGCAGTAATACTAGCAGTAAAACTGCCAACAGATGTAGATAGCTATATTTGCATTGCAAAATTACTTATTTTTATGGTTCCGGCATAGCTTTTTGCCGTACATAATTTTATTTAGATCAGTGATCAGTGTGCCTAAACATGGCAGCTTTACAAACATTCTAACACAGAGGTGGGCAATCTCAGTCCACGGGGGCTGGTGTGCCTGCAGGTTTTAGATGTGTCCTCGAACCAACACAGCTGATTTAAATGGCTAAATTAGCTCCTCAACATGTGCTGAAGTTCTCCAGAGGCCTGGTAACGAACTAATCATGTGATTCGGGTGTGTTGACCCAAGGTGAGATCTAAAACCTGCAGGGACACCGGCCCTCGTGGACTGAGATTGCCCACCCCTGTTCTAACCCATTGAGCTTCACAGGCTATTCTTTGAAATTTACAACTCACATAACATTAATTGGGAAACTGTAAGTTCAAAATTAACAACATTGAACTCTATGGAGAACGGACACTTAAAGACACTGTGTAATAAAAGTCTAATAATAGGTATTACCAGTCCAGTGTGAAGTTTGAAAAACTTAAGAAACACTGGAAAGTTTACTTCCTAAATGACATCCTTTTCCTAATGAATCAGTTCTATTTTTTCCATTCAAATTATAAGCTACAATCTTAACACTCTTATGTGATGCAACAGAAACGAAGCTTGCTAAAAATACTGTAGGATTTCATTGTGGTATACAGTGGGTTCATCAGCTGTAGCGTGTTCTCCAAACTTTAAAAAGGTACTGGTTGCATTTCTATGCAACAGCTACACAGCCTGGACCCTCTAGAAATGAACAACTTATTAGGACAAAGTCATGTTCAATAAAATTTATTTAAAAACGTTTTGTTTTAGAAATAAATAGTGAAGGACAACACAAGACTGTATACTTCATATCTTAAACAGCATGAGCATGGACTGAAGTGCATGAAGTCTCACCTGTTGATGATTCAACTGATGCAGTGCTGAGTTTTTGGGAACCACTCATTGCTTCAACTACGAAGTTATACATGACGTTTGGAGGCAGCGAGGTAACAGAGCCCATCACTGTGTTTGGACCAAATGATGCAAAAGCGACAAGTTCGCTCTGTGATTTTACAGTGATCTGGTATGAAGTGGCTCCAGAGTACCTGGTCCATCTGAGAGTCACAGTCTTTGATGTTGCAGAGAACACAGACACTTTAAAATCTAATGAAGGTAGAGCAAAAATCATTATAAGACACATCTGGCACCCTGAGAAAAAGATTCTTTCAGACAAGTCAAGTTTTTTTTCTTGTTCTGTGATAAACCGCCAACAGTTGAATATAGTAAAAGACAACATACAGTACCTGATTGGGCTGCAGCCTGCAAATTAAGATAAAATATATGTATTAAGTGTTCTGATCAATTTCCTATAACAGTTATCTCCTCACTATTTATTACAATACCTGTGAGCACATGCCCAGTAATACAAAAATCTCCAGCCACTTCATAGCACCAGTTTTTCTGGTTTGTGTCTTCTCTCCTTCTCTTGATAGCTTCTCTTTGATTCTTAAAAACACTTCTCTCTAGTGGTTTGATCTTTTCTTAAACATCTATCAGCTGAAATACCTGCAGCAAGCCCCTCCCACTGGGGGGGTTAAATGTCTTTTTATAATGAAGCAGGGAGATGGGGCCGGTGTAGGTTGAATGCCATGGAAAAAACCTACCTTTGAAAGCATCATGTTCTGCACTCAAGGATATATCCACTAAATGTGACATGGACATAATTACTGTCTGGAGGCCTCAGAGCCACCTCTTTGACAGTAACATAGATAGATAGATAGATAGATAGATAGATAGATAGATAGATAGATAGATAGATAGATAGATAGATAGATAGATAGATAGATAGATAGATGTCTTGTGCGCTTCATCACTAAAAAACTACAGCTCACTGTCGCACACTTGGTGACGCGAATGACGTCAGAGTTTGTCTTCGTGAATTTCTCGAAGGGAAGCGGCGCAGTGGGGAAAAAAACAAGATGGCAACGGGCTCAGATCACGGGCTGAAAAGAATAGTTTGGAAAAGTAAGTTTACTCCAACAGGAGAGTATTTCCTGCTCTTGAAAAATAGCACAACGGCGTTTGTTTAGCACGTGAACTGTGAGCTGTTTTAGCTAACCTCTTCCTGCGCGACTTTAGCTTTTGGAATAACAGCGAACATTTTCATTCAGCTGTTCCCTTTGAGCGGAAAATTACAAATTTCCGAAACGCAGTAGAACCGATAGAGGAAAAAGCCGCAGACGCAACTTGACCTAACACTTGGCCCGGTCAGAACATAACGACTTTTTTAGGCTACTTGTTTGTAGCAGTAGCCATGGGTGAGGTCACTGTACGTCTGCAACCGCACCTCGTTTATGCAGCGGGATTGCTACAAGTCTGGCGTATTATTTGTATCCTTATCCTGATGTCTTGCCTTCCTCTTGTTGGCTGTGGTTAGGTTATGTCACCAAGAAGGCTGGTTTGTGTTGCCGTTAAAATGAGGGTCAAACAAGCAGCTAAGACGAATGCAGCCCAGTAGAACAGCGGTAATGAAGTTTTGTTGCTGCTGACATGTGTTAGAACTCTGTCAGACTGGTGACCTGTACCCCACCTTTCGCCCTGTGACAGCTGGGATAGATGTATGGATGATTCAAGTTTACGCACTACAGGCTACAAAATGACCATAAGGTCGCTGAACAGTTGTCCCTAAATTAATGAGAGTGCTGTCACTCAGGTTTGCACAATAGCAGGCTAATAATCAAGTAACAGAGTTAGACAGAAATAGCCTTTGTTCTTAATACTCCACTCATGAAAGCTGACATAACCTTGGCAGTACGTAAATACTTTAGTTGGTTCAAAGGTCATTCCTTCTTAATTAATCAATTTTTTTTAAACTGCCGAAACCCCCCCAACTAAGTTTAAGTTTACTACTTAAGATAAAATATGTAAAACTCCAGGACCTCACTGTTATCTCACAAAAAAAAAAAAGTGACGGGATCTGAGTTTTACATATTTTATCTTTTCTGGGTTTTTTTTTTTTGAGGAGCTGTTTTAAAATTCCATTATCTAGAAAACTACTAGTACCACACCCTTTCACTCTCACGTGGTATGACCCAAACACATATGAAAAATCAATTGTACCAAGACTCTGAAATATTACGAAACACAACTGCATAACTTTTATACATTAGGCTATAAACGTTCTAATATGTTTTAATTTTATGCATAAGTAGCGAGATAATGGATATTTGCAGTTCTGATTACATCACTTTCTGTTTTGCACACTTGAACTAAGAGGTAGCTTAAACAGTGACATCATGAACGATAATTTGTTTTCAGATTATTGTTGTGTTTACATGTTGTCATGTTATGTGCTCCTTACAGGAATACAGGACACAATTATTACAGACTGCAGAAACTCTGAAGTATGGAAGGTAAGAAACCCACCATGTGCTCAGTACAGAGTCCCAGGATTGTACTTGGATAAATGGACAAGCTCCGAGTTACAGATTCAGCTTTGATATGATTGATTCTCACTCATACTCTTTGTCTCGATATGTGGTGCTGCATAGCATGGGAGTATATTACTGTTTAACGCATAATTAAAGGAGGATTTTCACGTTGTCTTCTTCACAGATATTGATTCTGGATCCTTTCACCACCAAGCTCCTCTCGTCATGCTGCAAAATGTCCGACCTGATGTCAGAGAAGATAACAAGTAGGTGGAATGATGTCCTTTTATTTATTTTTACATCACGAAGCTATTTGATCAAAGATCATTTGTGCGTGTATGTCTTTAGCTACTTTTGACTACTAGTATTCTGTTTCTAGTTGTGGAGGACCTGTTCAAAAGCAGAGAGCCTGTTCTCGAAATGAAGTCCATTTACTTTATGACACCTACTGCTAAGGTTTGCTGTTAAAACTTTTTCATTTTCATTTCTTTAACATATCACTGCCAAACTCTGTGAGTTCTTAAATCTATTTTTTTTTTCATAGTGTGTGGATGCCTTTATAAAGGATTTCAAGCCCAAACCCAAATACAAAGCTGCGTACGTCTATTTCACTGACTGTAGGTAACTCCTGTGTTGGTGCTTAAATCTGCTTCATCAGCCAAATAGCAGATATACCTTTTACGATCAAAGTGGGCACTGAAAGCTTTTTTGATCTGCAGACTGCCCTGATGACCTGTTCAACAAAATGAGGCAAGCCTGTGGAAAACACATAAGGGTCTGCAAGGAAATAAACATCTCTTTCATGCCTCAGGAAGCACAAGTAAGTGTTTAAAATTTAGCCAAGTGTTCTTTTTTTTTAGTTTATTTTGTAATAGTCCATTTCCTCTTTTTGTCAAAATTCCCCTCAGTTGACAGGCACGCACGCAGGCTGTGCACTTGCCTGTTGTTGAAGGAAGGGAATTTGCCTCGTGTAGGGTGTTTCTTGAAGTCCTAAAGAGAGTAAATCCTGTAGCTTCACATTTTTCCTTGCTATAGCATTTCAGCGGCTTCGTTGTCAACCTTTCCCGTTTATAATTCACTGTGTGTTCTCAATGTGTTTTGGCTGCAGGTGGGATAGTTGCAGAAACAGAAAACTACTGTTGTATACGCGTTACTGGCATTGTCTTGCTGCAGTGAGCGAAAGAAAACACTGGTGAATTCAGCTTTTGCAGATATGAGTTGTTACTTTCACCAGGTGTTGTAGGTTCACAAAGGCTTAAAACGGGGTTTGTTTGTTTATTAGCCGCTTGCTTCCTGTTTGGCAGGCAACATGCTGCCATCGTATCATGTGTAATTCATCGTATGTTGATGTGAATTAGATGTTGTCATTGAAGTAAAAGGTGGTATATGTGCATATATTCTGAAAATGGGTCACTTTAGCCTGTTACTAGGCAGATGTTAGGAAACACAATGGTGTCATAATTTCTGATATAGATGAGAACCTTTACGATATATCTGTGTACCAGGTTTGATTGGTCATCTGCTGATTATCTAGGAGATGTGATCAGACAAAGAAACACACAAGCAGGTGCTTAATGTATTATAGCCTCGAGTTCGGGAAACAATGAGAAATTAAAAATGATCCTTGTGCTCAGTTTGTATCTTCTGGAACTTTAATGATGACAGCTGTGGTTTACACTGTGGTGTTAAATACTTTGAAGGTTTTCACCTGCGATAATCCCGGGGCTTTCCGAAGCATCTACAGCCCCAAGAGTCAGGACAAAACGAAGACACTGGAGACACTGGCAGGCCAGCTCGTTACGCTCTGTGCCACATTAGACGAGTACCCAGGGATCCGATACAAGAAGTAAGTCCGACAACATGTAGTGTCTTAGGTAACAATACACCCGAGCCCCCAAGCAGAGTGAAACTTTTTACGAGAAAAAGTCAGAATAGGTTCCGTATTAATGGCAGGAATAATGCTGGGCTTGAAAACAAAGCGTTGGTATCACTTGTTTCTTTGAACAGACTGGTTTTAGAATGTGTTTGTTCCGAGTGAATATAGTAGTAAAGAGCAGAGTGCAGCTGTTATTTACAGAAAATACAGTTTTGTGTTTTATAACTACTGGATTAACCTTGACCTCAACGTTCACTTGACTGACGGAAACAACATTTATATCATAACTAGAGACGGCAACATGGAGAATGCCAAACTCCTTGCAGAGCTGGTGGACCGGAAGCTGGACACACACTACCAGCTGGATGACAGTGGCAAGAAAAAGGTGAGAGGCCTGCCGAACAAAGGATGGTTTCAGGATAAACAAGGTCGTAGCCCTGGGAGTAAATGGGAATTTTAAAATACTGTATTGTTTATCACATGAAAGAATAAAATAATCCCTCCTTTGCCTCAAGCACATTAAACAGTTCCCTTTACTATAAATTTGAAAAGGCAAAAGTTTGGACAGCTTGCTCCGTGGCAGTGAATTATCCCCGTTTTTATATATAATTTAATAATATATAACTTTTTTTTCCCCCCTACATCACCAGGAGAAGACCCAAGCCCAGTTGCTGATAGTCGACAGAGGCTTTGATCCTGTGACCCCCATCCTGC